AGTGTACGACATGGTATCGTGGTATGAAAGAAAGCTGCAAAGGCTGACTTCTGTTGGTCCTTCACGACTCCCTGGCTGGGGTCTGAGAGGTGGTGCAACACAGTGGCTAGAGACGTTATCAGATATGGCTCACAATAGAAGCCAGTGGCGATCCTGTTGTAACACTCTTTTACTTTTTTCATAAATAAATGGTTGTATCTTCCTTAACTGAAAGAATTCTTCTGGCTGTACCTGTCCATTTCCCTCATTATTATTATTATTATTATTATTATTATTATTATTATTATTATTATTATTATTATTATTACACTACCTTACACTAATCTGTTCGTGATTGCTTTTTTTCCTCTTCGAATTCTTATTGTTTTGTGTGGCGCATATATATTTGGTGCCCTCTTGTGCTAATATTTATGTTCGAAAAAGATAAGATAAAATACTTTTACTTGACACACCTATCTGATGGCACTCAGTCATGTATCCGCATCACATCACAGGTAGCCAGATTAGATCAAACGGTTCAGATATATAAATAGGCCTTCAAATATACCCTCGAACCATTTCATTTCTGACCTCAGATTTGACGTAGTTGGCATACTTTGGTTATAAAGGTATTACTTGTAAAGACGTTGTCAAACTCCGAATCCTTGTGGTATCAACGAGTTTATACAGCAGTTTACTTTAGATGTATAGCACACACAATAGTATGAAATGAACCGTGTAAAGTAAGTTCCTTTAAACCAAATACAAGAGACCAACTTTCTTAAAATACTTCAAGGCCAGAAAGAACACAACAACATCAATCGCAAATGTCCATCAGAATCTCTGGATCTCCATGTTCTTCAACCGGAGTAGATGAAGATATATTATATCTGATTTATTCGCAGATAGGGATAGTCCCGTTATATCAAAAATTATCACTGCAAGGTCCTTCATATGTTGCACAAATTATATCTACCAGGTATCCAAATAACCACGAAGAGCAATCATTTACCATTTTCCTGCTTCGAGATAAATAAAAGCATGGGGAAGTGAGTACATTCCCTGAGAAAATGTCAAAACTCTCAGGCGACCTGACACAATAAAGTTTCCAATTCAACTAAATTCCTACATGAATCAATCGGATGCAACTATCTTATGCGATGACTAGAACCGCTAAACTAAAATCATTACTGTTCCATCCATAGAAAACTCTCTTATCGATAAAACGATTGCACACTTCATTTGGTCATCCACTATTGTGACAGAACACGAAATTCAGTACGGAGCTGGACTACTCTAGGTTATAGCTAAATTAAGAGCGTTAGGATTTGGAATGACCTCAATCAATACTATGGTGGAATACTGTGGTGTTTGTGCGAACTAATGATTCTTTTGTACTTGGGGTATGCATGATCTCGAATTCTAAATACAATACGCTGACATGGTGAGGAAGTCAGACGACGAGTTCTCGCGCATACGCTACGTGTTGTCGAGGCTTTTGGATGTCGTTATTTATCAACTATTAACAGAATGTTCTCCGTAACACATTAATTTTCGAAATGTTTGTGCTTGTTACATAGCGTTTTTTCCAGTTCATTAGTAGTTTGACGTAGTTGTTGCTCACAACCTGGGTGAATGTCTAGTCAGCCTAATGTGGTTATTTGTAACAATGTAAACTCAAGAAATTGGAAGTCATTATTTATCACTTCAAATAGACCTCAGTAGGAGTTTTAAGCAAAAATGTGCCCTAAAATTTGGTGTTAAACTATTTTGGAATATTATGTAAGTTTCTATTGTACAGCTTTAAAGAGTTCTGTACATTTTAAGTATCATCGTTGTTGGCTGGACTGACATATGTAGCGTATCTGAGAATTAAACATTATATGAGTGAAAGTTGACGTTTCTAGCCTTTCCTGCTCGCTTTCTGAAAATATACAGGAACCGTGTATAACACTATGGTAAGTGCCACATTAATTGGTCACATATTCCTTAAGTAAAAACTAGTTTCATTGAATCTGCACATACTGCTGCATCGTCTGGGTAGTGAAATTGTCGTGTTATTACGGAAAGTGTTTGAGTGTTATCTATCTTTCCTCGATTGCAATGTCTAAGAATATAATGAACTATACAGTTAATATTTCGTAATTGATCAAGCGTACCTGTAAATGTTCGTATTATGTGTGCCAGTAGTGAATAACTCAAAAGACACTGTCATGTCACAATTTATCCTTGCTGCAGGTTATATCTGCTTGCAATTGTTTCTGCTTCCAGTTAAACAGAACAAGAAGCACCCAACAAAAATTATCCGTTATCACCGACCGAAATAACGAGTATCTGCAAAATGCAGTTTACTTTCGATGTGAATGTAATGAGTATGTTAGTCTGAGAAGGAAAAAATTATTTTGTCCTACATTTCGGAATTCTTTTAGCACACTATCGAATTCAGTCTCGCTTCCGAAGCGCCTGTTCAGTATTATGCGTTAAAACGCACCGCTAACATCGAATAAAAAATATCTTCAACCTGACGCAATGCGAACAGGATTAGGTAATTAATAAAAACCGATTATTCGTCAGAACAATAATTTCATAAATGAAGAAAGTACCACTAACATTTAGGACTTACCCGTTGTTTGATATTGCGTCTTAATCCTTGAGTAAAACAACGATCCACACAAAGTTCGTGTATCTAGAACTGTTAAGTTATTCTTAAATTTCTTACGTTGTTTTCTGGACCAAACCAAATTTAAAACAAAGGTGAGGACGTTCAGTAAGGAAATTGGTATCCCAGAATACGAGGCAGTAATCGATCCAACATGTGCACTACATGACAAAGAGAGCTGAATTAACGTTCTTCTCAACGAGCTTTCGGTTTACTTGTAGGAAAGAATCACTTAACTAAGAGAACACTCACAACAATTGAATTACAAAATGGCCGCCTTATGTCACTTCTTACAAGATCGTTTAGACGAAACGGCGGGCAGCTTTGAGCGAATCTGACTTTTTTACCCTAACCAACACAGGCTGATCAAATCTTTCGCCTTATGCAGTAATGTCAACCGACCGTCCATCTTATCCAGTGCCCCTACAATGTTCAGTTACCAAACAAACCTCGTTTCACGAAAAACTCTAACTTAAATAATAATACATGAAGCAACGTCAAACTAATATGGCGAGTAATAATATTTGCTTTCGATTCGAAAAGACATTTCTGATCCATAATTCGATACCATCGGTTTTTTTAAATGATTTGTCAACAAGCAAACCAATCCTGTCTGTGAACCTCAAAAGTGACGAGGTGTACCACATTCAGTTTCCACCCACGATCGAGAACTTTGGTGCATCTGCTCACTACAGTTAACTAATTGATGACTAATTTGTGGTCCTCCCTGAAACTGTGTTGTTTGGGTGAAAAGAGTTTTGTAAATAAGTGGTTGAGGACCAGAGTGAATCAGAGATTCCATAAACTTGAGGAGGGTGCCGAGGCAAATGTTGACAGCAAGTTGCCATAAAATTCATTTGTTTGTGTTCCATAAATGCCTATTGTGATGCCCGCTTTCAATTGTTTGGGACGGCTGCCCGGTCTGGTGACTAGGAGCACAAGTCAATAAATTGTGTTAGCAGGATTGTGGAAGCTTTTCTCAACATATAGGGGCGGAGATAGTTTCTTGTTTGCATACACTATTTCAGTGGTTCAATTCAGCTATCAGGCTTTTTCTGTATTGGAGATGATTTGAGACCGGTATAATGTTTTAAAATACTGTTCTACTAGAATAACTTAGACATTGGACCTGACAACTGGTAAACTTCATTTTCGGCTTGTCGAAGAGAGCCGCTGTGATGGAATTGACCTTTCAGATTACGGACAGGTTAATCTGGATCTGGTGCTCATTTTCTTTTAGTTCTATGTATTGCTCATAATTTTTCATTACCCATCTGCTGTTGTCACTCGTTTGTTTACATTCTGTGTATTACTGCTTACCGAGGTTCAACGATTAAACGATGCGATTACGTATGTCTTCAAGTTGCTTGCAAATTTCTAGGTATAGTGGTATTGATTCTAACCACGCGATACTCGAAACTAAACATAAGATAAATGAGAAAATTCACATTCAACGTTTAAGGCGGAGAGGTCACTAATTGTGAACAGTGGGGATATAGCATGGTTCTCCACGCAAGTGCGGTTACTCTGTGCAACCTCTTGCTTGTCGTATTCAATATATTACACTCTCCCCAGCCCAAATGTGTCATGTCTAGCATATGCGAATCATCCATTATGTGAAATAAAGTTGTGGTGTTGGTATGTAAGTAGTGGACATCGATTTAAAATAAATGTATTTTCTCGCCTTTGTCCTAAATGATCCATCTCTAAAGTTGTCAAAAATATACCGACAATAGTCCTTCTGAATGGGCGATCCGTATACCTCCACAGAGGATTACTGTCTTCACAGCTCACTAGCATTGTCACCAGTTCCGATCGGCCTTCGTCACCAATCCTAAAATCATCTGGATTGTTTAAGCAACGGAAAATTGCTTTTGGTATCGGACTCCAATTGACACTATATGCCTTGAGAGCGACATCGGTCTTCAGCGAAACATGTGATAAGAGGCGCAAAACACATGAGAGCATTATAGTAACTCCTCCGTTAAAAGAAATATTCAAAGGTGAAAGATTTGGTGATGACGCTTTCGACTGGTTCTTTTAAAACAATCCCAGAGATTTACTTTATTTTATGAAGGCGATTGAGAAGACTACGTCATGTGTCATTTTCTAACTATGTATTTTGTTACTGGATCAGCTTTCGCTTTTTCCAGTTACGAAAAGACCGTTACAAAGGTGATACGTCTTCGTAATCACAATCCCTTTCCTTAAACATCTAGTTGGTCGCTTCACTCCTGAGCAATTTAGAATTCGGAGCGCGTATTTTGGACATTTGCCGTACGGACTGGAATCTTTTGTAAAGCCTCTGAATATGTTATAGTTTTCTCGCATGTTCATATATTAAAAGTTTTGAATATAAAACATGCAAATCAGTGTTGAGCCTGATGTCTTTGAGCAGTTTCACAAGTTGAAGCAACTACACAAACCAGTTGGGAGTGACAGTGAATTTCTCTCTTTTATCGTGTCCCACATTCAAAAGTGTTGTTACAAAAGCGACAGGTAAGTGAGAATTTTAATGTATGTTCAACTTTATTAGTTGCAACCCAACTGTTCAAGCTCTTCCGAATGGCACATCTCTTCGGTCATGCCCAGAATGCAAATTTTCAGCCGGCACGTCTGAACAGCTTTGGGATCATTTCGAAAGTGTTCATCCTGATGAAGGGAGCTTCTCTTGTACATGTGGAGACTCTTATAACCGTTTGCCGTTGTTTTTGAGGCACTATGTAGATTGTCCCGTAGCATCTACTGACTTGGAAGATCCTCGTCGCAACTTTGCCTCGCTTAAGGACGGACGTAGAATTCTACCTAGCATCCTTCATTCTAACTGTGACGGTATAGCGGGTACGAAATTGGGTCAGCCTAATGTCTACCACCCTTACCGCCAGCCTACAGTATCGTCTGCTCCAGGTCCGTCAGGTGACAAGCCATACGGTTGTCCAAAATGTTATAAGGGTTTTAAAAGCAAATCTCTTCTCGACCAACACATGCATCTCCATTTTCCTCCTCGCTACAAATGCAGATGGTGTGGTAATGTCTACCGTTGGCCACCTGTTTATTACCATCACAAGCAACGGTGTAAAAAACGTCCGGTCATTAGTATGAGTGAAATCGGTCACGCTTCTGACTACCGTTGTCTTAATGGTTCGATTATGAAAGTCGAGGATTCCCAAATGCATGTCGATCATATTTCACCGAGACAAACCGCGTTCAACCGTTTCGTGAATGCACCAGGAGTTTCTTTCACTCAAGAACTGGCGAACGACAACATCATTCAGAATGTTCCAGTCATCGGAGACGATGCAGCTAACTGTTCGCTAACATGCCTATGCACGGAAAGCTTTCTAAATGTCCCTTCCTACCTTGAGCATGCAACTATATGTCCAAAAGTTGTGTCGGCGTCCTCTGTCTTCGAAAATCTTGCTAATAGAGCCCTGTCTACTTCAAACAACTTAGGATTCAGATCTCCGCGACAAAGAAATTCTATTTCAAATTTCCGGGAATTACCGCCCGAATATCTTTCACAACTAAAAGATACAACTTTAATGCACTCTAATCCTGGTGGTATTTTTTCGTGTAACATGTGTGGCAAGGAGTTCAACTCCAAACTATCTCTCAAACAGCATGTAGATGGAAAGCATCGTGCTGAAGGTAAGTACCTCTGTGGGAGTTGTGGTAAACGATACCGTTGGGGTGCCTCGTTTTATTACCACAAAAAAACATGCGCCGGGCCTGTGTCTTGTGTACTCAATTCTCAAACTCCGGAGCTTGTGACCACACACACTTAGTAGACTTGTGAAATATACCTTACCTCTTTTTCATTTCTGTTGTAATTGCTACAGCTCGTGATACAATATTTATATATTCAGCTGTTCATTACCTGTTATCGTACTTTAAATGTTGTGGATTCCAGGTAATCGGATTATTTATGAACTCGTTATATTTTATTGTTTCTATATCGTTTATTACCGCATTTGATCTCTTGCTTGTTTGCTGAAACTTGGAAATTGTTTAACGATGTGACGGTTACCAAAGTCTTGATTTTGTAAATAATTCTATAAAATAAACTTACTATTCCAGTTAATCTAAGATCTGTGCATAATCTAACCTTTCAGTTCATTCATTACACTGGTGCATTTATCGTCACACTAGTACTTTGTCAATCTTGTAATTAGTGTACATTTGTGTACTGACATATTTCCTCCCCCTTAATAGAAGGATTTCTGAATTTACCCATTATATACATGCTTTTTGTTCTTGCTTTTCATTTATCTAGTCGACACTTAATGTTTTATGTAATCAGTCCTTTGACCCATTTTGATTATTTTAATTTTTTTTATGAGAAATCAAATCTCACTTCATATTCTGCGTTTATTTGTTGCTGCATAAAGCTTTCAAGGTATAAGATTCACAAAGTAATTTATTTTGGGCTGTTTTATACATACCATGACTGTAATTTTCCGTTCGAGGTAGACGATGGGAAAGCATCTTAGTCGACGCGTTACGTACATCGGTAATTCTAAAGTGGTGATCTGAATAGAAACACTTGTCTAACTTTGGAAAAAGTACCTCAGAGGTACATAAGTAAGCAGATCCCAAATTTTATCTTTGGTTTTATTCATGGAGTCTTTTGTTGCATACAGCACATGAGCAATACCTTATTTAATGCCGGCGACTTTTTGTAGACTCTGAGATCATACTATTCAACTTAATTGTTACTTGTGGTCATCTTCCCTAATTCCCAAGGCACCTCATAGCTTCGTACAGTTTGTTTTGCTTCACACGTGAGTCACATGTTTGTCTTATTTTGCTTGTATGAGGCGTACCAACATTCCAGTCTATGGACTGAGGTCATTAAGTGCATGGGGAAACCCAAGATCTAATACCTGCTAATTTTGAATCTTAACGAAACATTCCACATTAAAAATGCTTGTATTTTAGTTTGCGAACTCCATACTTTTCTCTTTTAATTTCAGTAAAGCCTACCTTGCATTTACTGAATTTCGTACTTTTAAATACTTGCCGAGTTAATACTTGACTGGTAAGTTCAGATGCTCCACAACTTTCTCGCCATGCTGTTAATTAGTAATAAGCGTATTCTGTGAATTATTCGCATAAAGTAGGGCTAAAGTATTAACACTGTTGACATCGGACGCAGAGTATCAAGGTAGCCGTGTTGATGCCTGCAGTAATTCGAGTAAAATTTGTCTTGTTGCCCAATATCCAGGTCACATATCATTTCATTGTGATGATCACTTCACTACTTGTACTATTAAACTAGGAATAATAAGATGGTAAATTGTAAAATTGCATCAGGATAGTTTCCAGCACGTCGGTGGTGGATACGTATATTTCCTAGTGAATAATTTTTCCTCTTACATAGCCATGTAACACAATTGTTAAGTGTTAACGTAAGAGCCTGTATCCGGGCATATAATCCTGCGAGCCATCATTCAAATTTAGTGATAGTTATTAGTGGAAATAGATGGTAGAGCTTCAGCTAAGGAAGCCAGGCTTAGCAGTAAAATTTTAAACATGAATCGATTAAAGGGGTCAAGATCGTATATGTTCAGAACCATTTACAGTTTGCCTCCTAAAGTGAGGATTTCATGGATAAGTGGCAGCTACGAAGTGCTTTGGGATTCCTTGGGAAATATTATTAATCTATGGAATGTCTGCTTATACTACATCGAGTTACAGCTCTCCTGATCAGCACCTACAAGTAGAGTCACCAATTGAATATTTTGAGTGGAAAAGCTCTACTTAGTCTACAGTTATTGCTAAGAAACTGGCTACTTTTCTGTTGGTCAGTTACCAACGTGGGGCCCGGTCTAATGTTTACCACTGCGAGTTGCTGCACATTAGTACACTAAGGAATGGAACAAACGATTGTATTTATTTATTTGGACACATGAATATTGGTACAAGAGAGCGCCAATATATATGCGCCACACAAAACAATGAAAATTCGAGAGGAATACAAAGAAAAAAAAAGCTAAGGAGCGCAACAAAAAAAAGAGAGAACAATAACGAAGAGATTGGTGTAAGGTAATGTGCTAGTAATCAGGGAACGCAAAGGTACAATCGAAAGAAACCTTTCAGGTAAGGGAGACACAACCACTTTTTATGAAGAAAGTAAAAGAAGGTTACAGCAGGATCGCCATTGGCTTCTATTCTGAGCCATATCTGATAACGTCTCTAGCCACTGTGTAGCACCATCTCTCGGACCCCAACCAGGGAGTCGTGAAGGACCAACAGAAGTCAGCCTTTGCAGCTTTCTTTCATACCACGATACCATGTCGTACACTAACCACCTCTCCGCTTCTTCCAACCAGTCCCAGAGTCGGCAAATAATGTACGACGTGGAATTCTCTGGGACGACATTCGTAGAACATGTCCAAGCCACCGAAGTCGGTGTTTCAAGATGGTGACACCAATTGAATTATCATCTCTGTGTTAAAATAAGTAATAATAACAAAACTTCACTCAGAGTGAAACAACCACGAGTGTATGGCGAATTTTACGTTGCCACCACGTGTTACTTCACTGTAATTTTAATTTTAACTCGATCTGCTTTTACATCACTCAAAAGGCGAACAGTAAAGTCGAAGCAAACAAACATTGGCATTTTAAAAGTATAAATCAACACGAATAAATCATGGAAAAATTTATGATAATTGTTAATTTATTTCCTCAGTCCTTCTAAATCATATTTTGTGAATTATCTAATCTTTCTGTAATATCTAATTGAATAACTGTATGAAGGCAAAACTACGTTTTTTTCATGATGTTGGTTCTGTTGTTTGTATCATATTTAGCAACCTGCACAAAAGTCGAGCTGAATATACGACCGGAATAGCATTTTTATTGCCTACCATATATGTGACGATTAAGATTAGAGCTGATGCATTTTTGTTATAGCTGGCCGATAGTAAATTCGGCAATCAATCACATCATTTTAAAGCATAAAAGAAATTGATTCAAGGTAAGTAACGAAGCCTTGCTCTTGATTTTCTTTATAAAAGAAAGGTGCGGGTGTCGAGAGAATAGATGATATTGACTGTAGCCTTATCTGATAAACTCATACTTCTTTACTGCTACGTAATGGAATTAATAATATTGGTACTGACGAAAATACTTCAAAAACGTAATCGTTATAAGGACATTGTTTCTAGTGAATGACGGAATTAACTTGAATTTCTTATGTTTTACATAATGATACTAAATGATTCTTTTGTGAGCTTGATTTATTGGTTGGGGTATAATCCTCTTGTTTCGATTGGGTCAACCATTCGTTAACACGAAGTAAGTGGTTTAGTTTGACAGTTTACATTGTTACTAAGCCGTATATCTATGTGTACACAGAAAATGGTAATATTAAAGTTGTATGCTAAAAGTACTGATGGGCTAATAGTGGAGTTATTGCTGTTATCTTTGTTGATTTATGAAGGCTATTTAAATTTACTATATTTAGTAGTTCCTAAGCTTCAACATGATAACTAGTTGACTGACCCGCAGCATATGTAATTAACTTTACCATTCACAGTACTTAACAATTGAAACAGCTTGATTTAAAAATAATCTCTACTTCTATAATAAATTCCTGAAGTAGTACTTATGCTCAGAATTATTGGTGTTGACAAATGTTTTTGTCTTATGGTAATGTTGGGGATTTTTGCTTCTATTCTATAAGTTATTTTTATATTAGTGTAATCCATTGAAGTTTCCCGAACCATATGTCGTCTTGACTGATATGATATTTAAGTCATTTAAGTGGTTGAAACACTTGACTTCTAAAAAGCGAACCATTATTCCAAATTTCGTTCAACTGACTTTGTTTGAGGCAACAGTTTGTGTTTATATGTGTTTTATGATTTTGTTTTTGGTCTTTTAAAATTATTTGATGGTGAGGGAAATATCTTTCTGACCCACTTTGTCGGGTTTATCTCTTATTTTTTCGGTGACTGTTGGCTCTTGGATTTTAAACGGTTTCTGATATCATATTAGTTTTGATTAGCGTTATGTGATGCTTAAGTCAGTTATGAAGTTGGTAAACAACTTCTAAATACTAGATCGCTGGGAGTAGACTGCAGCATTACGTTGGAATGTTTGTAGTTTATGTTTATTTGTTGCCACAATGAACTAAAGTTATTTTGAAATTTTTTATCTCTGTGGTGCGATTTAACTAAATATGTTATGTACATATAGCCAGTATACAAATCGTCTAGTTGGAATATCCTTTTTAGGCATTATGGTCCGTCAGTGAGTGAGGTTTAGATAGCTTTAGCTCATTCGCAATAACCGACAGCTAGTTTTTCCTAGCGTTCTGATTTTCTGGCTGAAGATATTCTTATAATTTCATTTCTTAGACGTTTTGGTGGTGATGTTTATAAAATTAGAGTTATTAAGTGTTATAGTAACAAGTGTACATTATTAGTTGATTCTAATTCCATCAATTTGAGGTAAAATTTAATCATTCAAAATACAACCACTCATTTTTAAAGTAAAATGTTTATTTCCACTGTTCAAATCTAAAAGTGGTTTAGGTAAACTTAATTTGGATACATTGCATGTTACCTTTTCAATCTAACCCGTAAATGCTCAGCGGCAAGTTACTGATGAGTTCTTTAAAAATCTACCTGTTCAACTGCACTGTCCTTTCTCATCTAGTAGAAGCCTTCTCGATTTTGCATAAAGTCCTAAACAGTTTACCTAAATGGAGCAAGATTATAACTCTTACATAGCTGAAGCAATCAAGATCAACTCCCGAGAATCTAACTCATGTATC